ATAGTAAGGGGGGGGGTCGGAGGTCTTTTATAGGATCGTGTAAAATACCCAATAAGTTGAGCTCCTTCAACATTGTTCTTGGTTGCCCCCCCCCACACCTTAATGGAATAAAGTTGGCATAAAGGCAGCCAGAGAGCAGGGCCGGGCTCAGCTAATACATTAATCATAAACAGGTTTGTTATTCTTCAGGAGAGCCTCAGCCGTCACCTCCACAACCCCTCCCAACCACTACCGCCCCCCTCCCAGCTGCCCCCCCACCCCCATTAAATTGTAGTTGGAACTGAATTCAATTCTCTGTAGTCTCATCAAGAATGCAGTATCGGGGGGGTGGGGGGGGGGGGGGGGGAAGAAAGAAGAGGGGATGGGGGCGACTAATTAACTCCCTGATGTCAGATGGGCTCAGGTGGTAGAACTCTCGCCTCTCCGAGGCAGAAGCTTGTGGGGTCGAGCTCCCACGTTGGGGGACTGTGATCACACAGTCTGGGCTGAGGGGGTGGGGTGTGGGGGGGCGCTGGTCGGAGGCATTAAACCGAGACATTAAATCGAGCTCAGCATCTGGGGCCAGCGCAGGGTTCCACATTACTACTGTACTTCGCAAAGAGAAAGGGGGCTTCTCCAAGTTGGTGTCCTGGCCGACAATCTCCCCCACCACCACCACCATCACCACCTGCTTCCCCGATTCCCAGCTAATATTGACGAAACTTCCCCAACATTTCGCCCGCCCAGAAATCGAGCCAAGGTCTCCCGCCAGCGAGGCGAGTGCTCTAACCACTGAGCTACAGGATTCTACAGCCTGAGATCCAACGGGTCTGGATGTGAATAGCCTTTCGCTGCTCTGTACCATCCCTGTTGTTCAGGGTTTTAATCTTTTTCCCATCCAATTCAACCTCCCGGATAATTATCCGTCCCACTGTGCAATAAAGCCCTTATTTACTTCATGTCCCAGGGCCATATTTCTGGATATTATTCCCTCTTCAATCATCTCCTGCGGAACAGTGAGTCTGGGAGTCCCCAGTGAACCAACCCATCACTGGCACCAATACAGGCAGAGCGAGCGAGCGAGGGAGGGAGGGAGTGAGTGAGCGAGCGGCACAATCCATTTTATTATTGGATCTCCAGACCATTACACACTTCCGGCTTTCCAGTGCTCCGCTATTTCAATCCCAAACATTCTGCTGAGAAGAAAGCTGTGGGTTCAAGCACAACCCCCCACCCCCACCCCCCCCATGGGTGGGGGGGCTTTGCACATTCCAGGCTGACACTCCAGCAGGGCAGCGCTGGGAGAAAGAGCACAGGACCCATGCCCTTGGATGGGCCATTAAACTGAGGTCCCACCTGCTTGTGCTTCACCATAAAGTGTAGTGACTGTACTCTGTCGGCAGACAATTTGTACACAGCACCATGCCCACAAACAGCCGCGGGGGGGGGGAGAATATGTTGGCCAGCACACTAACTGGGAGAAACTCCCTCTGGTTTAGACTGGGGGGGTGGGGTCTGGGAGAGACTACGTGGGCGACTTGACTTTAAGAGAGATGTACGTTACAGTTGCTCAGCATCTTCTCTCTTCTAGTTTGATTCAGCCTCGAGTATAAGGTGGTTGGTCGGTTGGGTGGGGGGGGGTGGGTGTCGGGGGGGGAATAGATACCCACAGGCATTACGCATAGATTGTAGGTGTGGTTGAAGAGGTAGGATTTAAGGTGGGACTGGAAGTTTGATGGCGAGAGGGGTGGGAGCGGGCGGGATAGAGGCCGTGGGTGCCAGAGGTTTTTGAGGTGGGGAGTGGCACGGTAAGAGATAAGACGAGAAAACATAGAAGGCTCTTTTTTTTCCCCACACACAGACACACACAAGAGATTAAAAATAAAATATCGATACCAGTTGATAGCAAAAATATTCCCCTCCGCCCCCTCGGTCAACCCCCTCCGACTAACACCCCCCTCCCCACCACCACCACCACCACCGAAGTTACATCAGCACTTTGTCATATTGTGGGGAGTTGTGTTGATGTTGGAAAAGTGGGGGGGAGGGAAAGGGAAAGGGGGGGGGCTGTATATGTACATAGAAACACATGCATATATATATTATATAGGTATATCTGTATGGGTGTGTGTGTGTAGAGGGCAGGTGGGGTGGAAAGGGGGAGAAAGGAGGGAGAAGGGGGAATTTGAACCCGCAAAAAAAAATTAAACAAATCAATAATAAAACAGTGATACACCCATCCATTCTGAAGTGCTGCACAAATCCCCCCCACACACACACAATTCCCCCCCCAATACACAATTCCCCCCCCAATACACAATTCCCCCCCCAATACACAATTCCCCCCCCAATACACACAACCCCCACCCCCATACACCCCAACACACACATCTTTGCACAGTCACAGTGTCATCCCAAAAGCCTTGACCATTTCTATGGCACAGGATGCTTTGCCCAGAGCCCAGACACAAGCCCCTTGGCCTCCCCCCCCCCACCCCCCCCCAAATAAATGGTCCAGGGCTCACATCAACCATCAACACCTCCCACTCCCCCTCTCCTTAAGGACCACCTCTGAGGTGAAGGAAAACACTGTAAATTGCAGCAAAATCGAAGTCATTGAAGATGAGACACACTCAGTTATGCACAACTGGTTCCCCTCCTCCCAATTTTTTTTACAAAAAGGACAAATACATCTTCCCCTCCCACCCCACACCCCCCCCCCACCCAAAAAAAAAACATCTAACATCACACCAAACGCCCCCTCCCCACCAGGTCGTATGGCAACCGATGTCTCTTTAAAGGCATTTAAACCCCTGAGAGATTCTGAAAGGTTCAACAAAAATAAATCAACGCACCTTGTGGTTTCCAGAGATCTCACCGCAGTGTGTGGGTGGGGGTATGGGTGGGGGGTGTGTGTGTGGTGGGTGGGTGGGGGTGTGTGTGGGTGGGTGGGTGGGGGTGTGTGTGGGTGTCAGCTCAGCTCATCCTGATCTGTATGTGCAAGTCTCCCTCTCTCTCACACACACACCCCATCAAACTGTAGCCATCATGTCCAAGAGCATCCTCCCTCCCTCTCTCTGTCTGTCTGTGTGTGTGTGTCTGTCTGTCTGTCTGTGTGCAAGTCTCTGTCTGTCTGTCTGTGTCTGTAAGTCTCAATGTCTCTCTCTCTCTCCCACACGATCACACTGTAGCCATCACGTCCAAGATCATCTTTCTTTTCCTCCCTCCCTCCCTCCCTCCCTCTCTCTGTCTCTCTCTGTCTGTCTGTTTCTCTCCTCCACCCAACGCGTTGCAAAGTCTCCCCCCACTGGGCATTCAGCAAAGCAAAGAACACAGCCCAACAGCTGTGTCTGTGGGCGTGAGAGTCAGACAGTCAGTCACACAAAGGCTGTGGGGAGGGGAGGGGGTCCTGCAGACACACAGCCTTCACTAGCAAGTGAGCACCCAGCACCCCCCCACCCACACACTCCCAGCCCCCCACCCACACACTCCCAGCCCCCACCCACCCCCAGCCCACACACTCCAGCCCATACACTCCCAGCCCCCCCACCAGCCCACACACTCCGCGCCCCCCACCCACCCCAGCCCCCCATCCACACACTCCCAGCCCCCCACCCACCCCCAGCCCACCCACTCCCAGCCCATACACTCCCAGCCCCCCACCAGCCCACACACTCCGCGCCCCCCACCCACCCCAGCCCCCCATCCACACACTCCCAGCCCCCCACCCACACACTCCCAGCCCACACATTCCAGCACCCCACCAGCCACCCTTAGCCCCCACCCACACCCCCGCCCACACACTCCCAGCCCTCACCCACCCACACCCACACACTCCAGCCCCCCACCCACCCCCACCAGCCCACACAGTCCCAGCCCCTCACCCACACCCACCCTCCCTCAGCCCACACACTCCCAGCCCCCCACCCACACCCCTGCCCACCCCCAGCGCACACACTCTCAACCCCAGCCCACACACCCACACCCCAGCTCCAGTCCACACCCTACCCCACACCGCCCACCCCAGCCTCCTTGGTGTCTTGTTTCACCCTCAAACATCCTTCCCCCCCCGCACCACCTCCACAACATCTCCTGACTCTGCCACCGCCTCGCCCCTCAGGCCGCCAAAACCCTTGTACATGCATTCGTCACCTCAAGGCTCGACTACCCAAACTCCCTCCTTGTCGGCCTCCCCATCTCCTCCTTCCACAAGCTGCAGATCATCCAGAACTGTGCAACTCATCATCTCCTTCAAGGCGCAGCTGAAGACACTCCTTTTCGACCGTAGTTTCAGCCGCCCGCTTACCTCTCTGCCCTTCCTCATCCCAACCCTCCCCCCACCGCGCTCAGGTATTAATCCCCAACTGTTCAAGGTCTTGGGACGTCTTCCCGACTTAAAAGATGCTTTACAAATGCCACTTTGTTGTTGTTGTTGCCTTTCATGTCAGAAGGATGTCTCAAAGCACTTTACAGGATTCACCATAAAGGGTAATGACTGTAATTGTGTAGGCCAAGAGGACAGCCAAGTCTTCGCCCAGGGAGGTCCCTGCGATCGGCCATGAGGTGAGCCCCGATTTTAAATCGGGGGATTGTTAGCCGGGACCCTGATCGGGAGAGAAATTTCCCCCCTCGTTTCCTATGGCGCTGCAAGAGATCTGAACATGTGTCTGAGCGGGACACAGATTGGGAGCTCGGTTTAACGTCAGATCCGAAGGACGGTACCTCCAACAATGCTGCGTTACCCCTCTACCCCAACACTGCACAGGAGTCTCAGCCAAGACTCCCTCCCCTAACCAACCACTCACTATAGTTTAACCCTCTTTTCACCCCCTTTCCCAGGTTAAGCCAATTAGTGACCATTAAGTCCATACTCACAATGAACATTTATTTTAATATCTGGGTTTTTTTTTAACAGGATCTAAACTTTATAATCCAAACGGCTCGGAGCCAACGAGAAACACAAAAGTAAGTTTTTTTGGGGGTTTCCAGAAATATCAGTTCATCAAATCCAGTCTTATTATTGTTATTAATAATCATGTGTGCTTCTGGAACCTGGAACAAAAGTGCAAAATGTAATCGCATGTGGACTGCCCTCGAGTACTGAAATGGTCTCCTCTTTTTATTGAGTCTTCCCTTCCTCCTCTCCCTTCAGTCATCACAAAGGCACAAGTTAAACATCGTAACTTCAGTGATCTGCAGGACTGAAAAGGGGAGAAATGACCTCGTTGCCCCAGAGACTGTCCAATTGACTCTGTAATACTAATCTTTACCTTTGATATAATACTTCTGGCCCAACTAACTTTCAAGACAATTAAATCAATGCAATTAATATTTACATAGTTTTGAGGCCTCAGGTTGAAAGGAGCGCTCAAATACTACAGTCTGGACATTAGCGCCTGGTGGGTGGAGGGGGAGGGAGGGGGCAAGAAAGGCAAAAGGGAAACGGTGGAGGGTAAAAAGGTGATAAAACTACAGTCAAGTGATTACCCTTGAAAGAGGTGAGTGAGCGAGCGAGCTAGTGAGGCGGAGGGACTCCAGATGGAGTTCCAGAGTGGTCTCAGGGTGGGTGGGGTGATGTTACGATGGAATAACTCGGTTCCTTACCTTGCTCTAGGGAGCAGCATAACCCATGTGTTCAGTCGGTTGGAATATCTGAAATTGAAGAAACCAAATTCACAAAGAGTTTATTCACCATTTTCTCCCTCTCTTTGCCCCCCCCCCCCCGACTATTCACAAATTAGGATGCGTTTCTAACCCACACACCCCCACCCTATCTCCCAGCCCACCACATTAAATGGCACCTCCGGCAATAATAATCCTTCCATTCAATACGGCACCTCATCAGGTGATTAAGTCGTTTCAAAGCGAAAGATTGGGGCAAGTGTTAATGTTAATCATTTCACGCAGGAAACCCAGCAACAGGCACTTGGCTGCTGTGCACACGTTACCATGTTTGCCCTCTGTGGCTGGGATACGCTCTTCATCGGGTAATACACCCACTTGGCTTCGTCGTGACCATCAACCGGATCGTAGGGCCTTCCCACTGCAGCGTCATCCTGAGCGTCTGTGCTGACCGGCCCAGCCGAGCCTTCTCCTGGTTCCACCAACTCTTCATTCAGGGGCTTGTCCTGGAGACCTTCCTGCAGAGCCGGTTACACTACATTACACACAGAGCAACTTACAGAGCCACATGTTATCATAACGATAATAAATAAGTTACCCACAAAATACACACCTTACGCCTGGAAAGCACTTGTGACGCGAAGAGCAATGCAAATATTATTCTAATGCAAATATTAGTTTATTAATGTGAAGTGTATTTAATTCAGAACCTCTCACTTCAGATGGACGTCTCAAAGTGCCTCACTGGATATACTGTCAAGCCGAGCGACTGTATACTTTTGTACGCAAACATGACAACCAATTCGCACACAGCAACTAAAATAACTGAAGATTTAATTGATGGATGGGTGGGGGGGAGGTGGTTGTTGGGGGGGGGGGGGGGGCGTTGGGTGGGTCAAGGAGAAAGAGGCTGACCAGGACACCGGCTAGGGAAACTCCCTTCAGTTTTCGAATAGTTTCACAGGAAATCTTCAACAGGTCACAGGCAGAGCTTGGCTTAATGTCCCAAATACAGCACTTCCAAAAATGTCCTGCTTCCCCCTTCTTCACTCTTTTCCCCCAGACCCCTTTCTCCTTCGGCCCCTTCTCACCTCCCCTTGCCCGCCCCCTCCCTTCCCCAATTCTCCCTCAACCCTCATCATCAAAGACCTCTGTCCTTGAAGGTGAGTGATAAATTGGAAGTGTGAAGGTTTGCCATCTTCCTCACCGTCAATCCTCCATTTTCTTCCAACACCACACGCAGGAGACGAATATAATCTGTGGCCCCCCTGAGCACATCCACTTTGCTTGGTTTACGGTCTCTGGGAATCAAAGGCACGATCCTCTTCAGCTTTGAGAAGCCACCATTGATGTTCTTAACCTAGACACAAGCACAACGGCAATCAACTGCTGTACGAAAAGCACTCACTACATCTTAGTGAAATCCTGTGACGAGGCTTTTGACAACTGAGGAGCTTTGTAAAATTGTAAGTATTAATTATTCCAATAAACTCCTGATAACTAAACCTCGTCACTGCCCACTTAAGTCATTGAACTGTCAATATCCCGGCCACATTGCGTTTCTCCCATAAAACACACAGTCACTACACTTTACAGTGTATTCTCGACGATATAAAACACTAGATCAAATGCTAGGATTAACATATTATTGGGCTGTCCTCTCTGACCGTGAAAGGTGCAACACAAATGTAATCGGTTGTTAATTTATTTATACGTGTGCTTAACTGGACGTTCTGGATAACGCGTCACTGAACCCTGTCCCCTGGAGTGACAAGTTATCAGGAGTTTTACTGTAAGAATTCAACTCCAATGTGAGCCGTCCTCACCCTGAGACGTTCCCTCTCGTTGGCCACCTTCCTCTTCCCAAACATGTGCTCCCAGTCATCGGTGGCCTCGCACTGGACACAGGGCTCTCGCTTCAGCTTTCTGACGGGGGCCAAGAGCGGGAGGCGCCCAAAGGTCCCGTTCATGACGTCCGCCATCAGCTCGGCCTCTGGGACGACCAGGAGGTGTCGAGGGACGGCTCCCACCACCACGCCCTGAGGGGGAAAGTCACATTCCACCAATTCTTCCTGACAGTCAATCAGGAAATCAAGTTCTTCCTCCCCCAATCCACCTGCCATTTGCTCAACTTGTCCAACAAGCCCCTCTCCGCCTTGTGCCTGGTTGACCTATCGCTCGTCTCTTGGGGAAGGTCAGAGAGAGAGGGAGAGAGAGAGACTTGAAATCATGGCATTATTACACGTTATCTATTATTAGGGTTATATTAGGATTATTACATGACCATCTTGGCAAGGCTGAGGATGAGCTGGTCCATGGACTGCGCTGCGGTGCACGCTGGGAGTTGTAGTCCTGCCCTCGCCTCCCTCCCACCCCATTCCCAGCACGCGCGAGGCGAGAAGAACTACAACTCCCAGGGGGCTGTGGGGCAGCTGGCGCATGCGCACCGGCCTCCTCCCCCCTTGCCTCAGGTGCCAACAATGAGTGAGGAACATGATGTCAATCAATCAGTTGGACTCCATTCACAGAGGGTTCACACAGTGGGGCTTGGGGTTGGTTTTACACCAGGACCCTCGCGCTTACCCCGTGTGGAATTTTATGCCCTGTACCGAGAGTTACAGGCACAAGAACTGTCCTTTCGGACCAGCGAGTCTCTCTTCCGCACCTACGCAGTCAGTCGTCTTAAACATCGCACAATTTTTTTTTTAAAACAACAACAAGATTGCATTTATGGAGCGCCTTTCGCTTCGGGAGGACGTCCCAAGGCGCTGGACAGTTGGGTCGGGACCCGAGCATTGGGGAGGAAATGGTCAGGGTGAGGGGAGGGAACGAGGAGGGGGTAGAGAGTCGAGAGGGGAGCTGAAGGCATTAAAAATCTTCAGACCACAGCTTCCCGCCGGCGAGTTCCACGTTCTCACCACCTTCTACGTGAAGAAGTTCCTCTTAAACTCTGTTACGTCCCAAACATTATATTTAACACCTCAAGTTATGGACAAGTGGCCTACCAACGTCCACCTTATTGAATCCTTAACGCCTCGATAAGGTTCTCTCTCGATAAGGTTCTCTCTCAATCATCCCAACTCCAGAGAACAAATCTCCAGCCCAATTAATCTTTCTTGTTTGCTGTATCTTGTGCCTGGTTACGTCTCTGTAAACCAGCCCTGTGCTCACTCCTACACTGCAATAGCAATCCTATAATATGGCAACACACAATACTCAAAATGTGCTGTAACCACAGTTTGATACAAAATCTTAACATAACATTTATACTCCATCCCTCTGTACAGAAAGCCAAGCACTCCATTTGTAATTTCCTTTAAGTGAAAATTGACCATTTGGTTTGCTTTTACAGTTGAAGGCGGCTGATAGATGTGGGCAGATGCCTGGACTCCCCACTCCCCTCTCCCCACCGTTGCTTCACAAGATTCCATCTATCCCGAGTCAGTCAGCCCTGGGCATCTGGACGGAGAGCATTTGCGGCTGGAATTCAAGGTAGACACAGGATGCAGGTAGACCTGGAGAAGAAAATACAGTGACGGACACTCAGAGGAACTGAGAAACTGATCAAAACTATACAACTTAACAATAATAATAATAACTTGCACTTATGTAGCACCCTCCACACTGGGTAGAGTCTCAGAGCATGGCTATACAAGTCTCTTCCCAACACAGCTCCCAGAGGTCAGTTCAATACCTATTTCCTTGAAGTGTATCTCAGCTCTGCCAAATCTTCCTTACCCCAACAGTCCAGCTGAACAAGTATCCTTTGATGGTCTCTTAAAAAGCTATGCTATTTTGTTTTAAACAGGCTTAACGATGTGCAATGTTAAAATGTTAATTAACCTCCTTTAGGCAGCAGTTAACCTTGATCCTTCCCTCTCTTGCCCGCCCCCCCTCCCCCTCACCTCCTCCCAGCTGCCTGATGTCAAGTGCATTGATTGCATGATTAATGATAATTAATAATAATTGGTAGAGCATCTTTTATGTTGGAAGAACGTCTCAAAGTGCTTCACAGGATTCACTATAAAGTGTAGTGGTTGTGAGTATTGTAGGTGAATGATACATCCTTGCATGTGTTACGGTGCTTGTAACTTCAGAACAGGGAATTGCTATCAAGTATAGTGACTGTTGATTTGTAGGCAGACCATTATTTTGCATTAACAGCCTTTGGGTGTCACTGAGACAGCTGTGGAATGTGTTATTTGCCTGATTAAGCATTAAGCCTGATTAAGATTTTGGCCAGGACACCGATTGGGACAAATTGCCTTCTCTTTTCAAATAATATAACAATAATACAGTACCTTCCATACATATTCATGAATAAATAAATAGAATATTACAGCACAGAAGGAGGCCATTTGGCCCATTGTGCCTGTGCCAGCTCTTTGGAAGAGCTGCTCAATCAGTCCCCCTCCCCATGCTCTCCCCATATCCTTGCAAATTTTCCTTTTCAAGTACCTATCTAATTCACTTTTGAAAGATGTTATTGGATCTGTTTCCACCGACCCTGTCAGCCAGCGCTTTCCAGGCCGTAACTACTCTGTGTGTAAAAACATGTCTCCTCATCTCATCTCCCCTTTGGTTCTTTTGCCAATTATCTTAGATCTGTGAGCCCTAGTTACTGACCCACCGGCCAGTGGAAACTGCTTCTCCTTATCTATTTAAATTAATTTCTAGGGAATCAGGATGTAGCATCAGAGTGGAGAAAGACGTTACATAGAGGGCTGGGAGAGACGAATAGCAATGTAATAAGGAGTAATCCAGACAAAGGAGGGATTAGACGGGAGAAATGCAGAGCTGACTCAGTCGGTCTTGGGAGTGCATGTGCGTAAATGCACGGAGTGTGACAAATAAGATTGGTGAGCTGCGGCTCAAGTTACCCCCTGGGGTTATGATGTCGTGGCAATAACGGAGGCCTGGCTCAAACAAGGGCCGGAATGGGAGCTGAATATTCCTGGCTGCAATGCATTGCAATGCAGGAGGAATAGGGAAGGAAAAAAAAGGAAGGGGAGGGGTGGCAATATTGATTAAATACATGGTTGCGGCCCTGGAAAGGGACGATGTGTGGAAAAGGGTCCAAAAACAGAATCCATTTGGTTAGAGTTAAGGAGTAGAAAAGGAGCTGTTACTCTGTCAGGTGTAAACTGTAGACCACCAAATAGTGGGAAGGGGACGGATGAGCAAGTCCAAGCAGATTTCAGAAAGAAGCAAAACCAATAGAGTAGTGATAATGGGGGAACTTCAATTATCCTAACATAGACTGGCAAAATAACAAGGAGTAAAGGGCAAGGAGGGGGAAGGACTCCTGAAATGTGTGCACCTCGAGTAAATCTCCCTTTAACCTTCTATGCTCTAAGGAGAAAAATCTCAGCCTCTCTTGTCTCTCTCCACATAACTAAAGTCCCTCATCCCTGGTACCATTCTGGTAAATCTCCTCTGCACCCTCTCCAAGTCCTGGACATCCTTCCTAGAATGTGATGCCCCGAATTGGACCCAATACTCCAGCTGTGGGCTAACTAGTGACATATAAGGAGACGGTAGAACTTTCTTGCTTTAGTACTCTATGCCTCTGTTTATAAAGCCAAAGATCTCATATGCTTTTTAACAGCTCTTATCAACCTTTCTGCCACCTTCAAAGACCAGTGTATGTGTACCCCCAGGTCTCTCTGCTCCTGAACCCCCTTTAAACTGTACCATTTATTGTATATTGCCTTTCCTCATTCTTCCTCCCAAAATGCATCATCCCCCAGTTCTCTGCACGAAACTTCATCTGCCATTTGCCTGACAATTTCACCAGTCTGTCTATGTCTTCCCGCAGTCTGGTGCCATCCTCTTTACCACTCTTTACCACGTTCAGATAACGTCTCAGAGCGCTTTGCAGTGGAGGGGCTGGTGCCGAGCGAGGAGGAATGGCTGAGAGCGTGAAAAAGAGGGAGAGTGAGTGCAAGAGTGAGTGAGTGAGTGAATGAGTGGATGGAGGAGGGAGTCCATACCAATATGCTCTGGATCTGTAAAATGCTGCAGTGAACGTTGTTTGTAGCTTGTAGTGGTGACCACTTGATGTCCCCACCGAGCTGCAGATGGTTGGTGAGAAACATCAGAGAGGACAATTGAGCAAATCAGGATTGCATTTGGTCTCTGGACCTCAGGGCTGAGTTATATATATATATATATATATATATATATACACACACACACAGGGAGATGGTGGAAGCAGAAAATGTTGTTCGTTTCAAGAACGAATGAGATAGATTTCTGTTGGAAAATAATATCTGGGGATAAAGTATAAAGTTTGGGACACGATAATATCAAGCGAGTGCAAGGACGGTGGAAGGTAAACCGGATGGACCTCGGTCTTTCTTTTGCCAGCAATTTCTTATGTTCTTATGAGTCTGTCTCCGTTGCCCTAACTGGTTGAATATCTTATTGAATGTTAGGGATATTTATCTGCCCTTTTGCCCTCATAAATCACAATCGGGCCATAACATTTACGGGTGATTTTCGTTATCGACTGCATTACTCTGCAATTATGGAGTTGGGGGTGGGGGGAGCAGGAATTTTATGTAATCTGTCGTAACTTTTTTTTCCGCCATCAGCTACATTTTCGGTTCCTGTTAGCTCAGCAGCAAATAGCACCTTGACCTTTGCTCGCAGTGTTAATCTCTGTCCTGGCATTGAAATGTATTGTTTTACTGTAACACAGTATAAAGCAGTGAGAAAGGGACAGTATTCTCTGGAGAGGAGCCAGCCTGCTGTAGTGCTCACTAACCTTGCACATACTGCGGAAGCAATAGGAAGCCTTCGGTGATGTCCTTGGCCATCGCGGAGGTCAGATTAAAATAAAAATCTTCCTTGCATTTGATTCCAACGTCTCAAAGGGCTTCGCGGGGTTTACTGCAAAGCGCAGTGAAGGTCTACTGTGTAGACGAGCGTGACAGCGATTTGTTATCATGATAGGGGGGGCAGCGGGGCGGGGGGGGTGGTGGGGGGAAAGAAATAAGAGTCATGAAGCAGGTATGAGCGATGAGACCACTAATGACCACTGCAAAGCCAATGAGTAGGGACCAGTTTTATTCAGGGGATTTTATTCATCGATCCGACAACAACAACTTGCACTTATATA